CTCTTCCCCTTTTGCTCCCTACCCTCCTCCTCCTCCTCCTCTTCGTACTTTGCCACCTCTTCTTCCTCCTCCTCCCTCCTCTTCCTCCACCTCCTTATTCCACCTCACTCGTGCGAGACGTGTTTATGAACGCACCGAGAAGGAAAGAGCGAGTGAGATAGGGATATACAATGGATGCCAGGCTGCGTTCCAATGCCTTCCTATCGTCGCACGTGTGCGCTCACTTACGGCCACTTTATGGCACTGTGATACACAGAAAAGGATACTGACCGATTGGAAACCTTTTACGATCGACGCCTGTACGCGGTCACGTTGAATGCTTTCTTTCTGCATTCCCGACCGATGACCGATCTTTCTTTCTTTTCTTTTCTTTTTCTTTTTCTTGTTCTTTTTGCTTCCTCCATCTTGTCTTTGTTGCAAATGCTGAGAAATCGTATCGACGTACTACTCGCAGTTATTATAATAATCTGTATATACTTATTTAGTCATCGTTATCTCGCAATACTTGTACTATCCAAGTTATTTTGAAGGATATTCTTGTAAAGTATAATCTTAGGATTATCTTATGAAAGATAATTATTGTAGACGTTTTCTTTTTTGTTTTTTCTTTTTTTTTGAGGTTATGTCGTATATTATTCGCGAAAACTCGAGATACTTATTGTTGTTTTATTTTTTATTTCGAATATTATTTGTTCAAATTCAATTTTTGTTGTTGAATATATAGTTGTAATCGATTGATTACATATCGTGAATCTTTAAAGAGAAACGTGATTATAAAAGTTGGTTAGTCGAGAAAGTAATGGCCGACTCCAGTCGGTCGCCATTGTTATATTATTATGACCAGCAGCAGCTGTCCATTAACACGAAAGAAACGACGCGAAAGTGTCGGATGATTAATAATGAAATCGTAGCTTATTTACGTAATGGAGAATTATCTTTAGAACGGTGAACGTTTAATCGAGAAACAGAGAGAGAGAGAGAGAGAGAGAGAAAGAGAAATTCATTCTATTATCATGGTTATATTTATAGTTATATTAGAAGATAATCTGGCATGTGGTTGGTGGTGGTGGTGGTGGTGGTGGATGAACGTGAAAGTTTATTCAAGATTTCATCGAATATATTGTACGAGTTCAAATTCTTTTTATAAAATTTACATCTATTTTGTTCTTTTTTTTTTTTTTATTCGAATAATTGATATCTAATTTCAAACCCGTCGTGATTACATTATCCAATTAATCCCGACACATTTAAAGTTTAGTCAAATACTTTTGACGAAGTTTTTTCAACTTATTTCGATTGTAAAATTTCTAATGTTTGTTCGTTTAACTTATCTCAGGAAAAAATATGATAATTAAAATCTAATATGTGTGATTTTTTGTCTTTAAAATTAATTTATAAATAAGATAGAGAGGAATTGTGCGGAGTGTTAAAACACTATGAAAGCAGCTAGCTAGCTACACGATCGTTACTCTCTATGCGCCAGCTTGCTGCGTTTCGGAGATGAAAGGAACGAAGAAGGGCTCGTATCGATTCCACGGAACTATATCTATGAAATAAGCTTTGACCTCCGCCTCGACGATGTCTTCGAGAGAGACTTTTCCTACGACAAATTCTTTTTTTCGTTTATATTCTCATCTATTCGTTTTGTTTTCTTATAGAAAAGTCTGAAAAAAAAGAAAGAAAGACAAAAAATAACGATCAAATATAAATGACACATTTATTAACCTAACAATTCGAACATATGTTAACTCGTACGGCGGCCATGTTTAATAAAAGGATAATACCCTCCCCCCTCTCCCTCTTTTTCTACCCATCACATTTATTCGACCGATAAAACAGATTTTTAACGTTTTATATACCCGGTGGAACGATCGTAAAAAAAAAAAAAAAAAAAGAAAAAAGAAAAACAAACCAACAACAATTTATTTTTTCACGGATTCTTTTTATCTAAATGAACTCTTTAATTTCTTTTCTTTTCTGTTTCTTACATACCGTTTATAAGTATATATATATATATATATATATATATATATATATATATAAACTCGTGCGCGTAATTTAATTGTACGATCATTTAGATAAGCCCTGAACGATAAGAATTTGGGTGGCAGTTGCGTGGACGGGGGGTTCGGGCGGATTTACAAAGAGTTGACGAGAATTGTTGTTTCGTATTTTTAAACGTAGAACGGAGCAAAAGATAGATGCATCGGGGAATGCAGAAATGGGATGAGGTGGGATGGGGTGAAGTGGGGTGGGGATAAAACGGGTGATGCGATGCGCCTCCTTTCGCGAGAAACGTTTGCCGCAAGTGTTGGTGGTGGTGGGGTTGGCGAGACGGCCCTGAGTCTCTGAAGACTACCGGTCCAAGGCCGTCGCGGGCCCCAGATTCTCTTTCTCTCTCTCTCTCTCTCTCTTTTTCTTTCTGTTCACCTCTTACCCTCCCCGTTTCTCTTTGTTTGCCACTCTCCTCCTCTGCGGAACTCTAAGTAAGAGAGTTAGTTGCTGCCCCTCCTAAAACTTCAACTCTGACGTGGTTCCCCTTATTTAGCCTTCATACGGTTCCACTTGAAATCCTACGAAACCTAGAGAAAAATTTATCTCTTTTTCTCTATCCTTCTTCTTCTTTTTTTTTTCCTTCCTTCCTTCCTTTATCATTAATTAATATTTATCCTAATTATTCGCATAAATCATATCTCGTTGTTCATATAATCCTTATTTTTATCTACAGTTTTTCTATATCAAACATTTTTATTTTATTATAATAATGATATCAATAGAATAATTATTTGTTTAAAAATAGAAATAAATTGTTTGGTATAGTCATTTAATAAGGAATAGTATCATTAAACGTTTAACAGAGTGCAGAATGCCTAACTGATCCTTTTGGTCCCGGTCAAAACGGCTCTTCGAATGACCAACCACGAGGGGCCTTATGCCGCACTATCTCTCTCTCTCTCTTTCTCTTCTTTTTTTTGCTTTCTATCTCTCTCTATCTCTCTGACCTCTTCGCATCCTTTCTTCCTTCTTCTTCTTTCTTCTTTTAGCAACTCGCTCGCTTACTCACACGCACGCGCGGTCTCTTCAGGTTGTGTCCTTCGGATCGTTGTTGCCTCACTCGGCGGTTAGCAACAGCTTGGCTGCTATGCCCGTGTTAATACCGGGTGTCTTAAATAAAACACCATTACTTTTAGCTAATCCAGCAATGGGGATATATCTTCTTATTTTTTTGTTCGTCAATTAGATCAATGCGAAATTTGTTAAATGAACAATTGTTTTTAAATCGTTTCGAATAAATTCGTATATTATTTCAATCGTTTGATGATATTCATATCAATTGGATTTTATTATAAACTGATTTCCTTTTTTTTTTTTTTTTTAATCTATATATTATTCATGGGAATAATGTAAGAAATATTTGTATGAGGTTTTGCTTCTTTTTAAACAAAATTCATATTTGAATATTTTCATTAATTTTTAGGTTATCTCGTTATCGTGGAATAGAAATCTACATTATCGACGTGTAATTGTAAAACAAAAGAAAAAACATGAAGGAACATTGCAATAATGTTTCACATTTTATTCGTTAAAAATCCTTCACGTCTCTCTTTGGATTATTGTATATCAATCGAAAATATTTCGAAATTAAAAAGTAAAAAAAGGAATAAAATTCTTTGACGTCTTCGATGACATTTTGTTTCTTTTTTTTCTTTTTCTATTTCTTCTTTGATCTTCAATAGTAAGCGAGTCAAAATGATCTTGTAAAGGTTATATTTGAAGAAAAATGAGAATTTAGTTGTGTTAGCTTTAGGGCATTGCTCGTAATCCAGGATAGAAAATTAAGTTTCTTCCCCTCTTTCACGAAGAAGAGCTGGATACAACGGAGATTTTCCTTTGTGTTGAGAGAAGGTGGACAGTGGAGGCTCACAGTGCCGATTGTACAATTGCATTCTATTGCTGCACCACCGTGATCATGTCACAAAGATAAGGGGAACGGGGAAGGGGGGAAAAAAAGGGTGCGGAATGATGAAAAAGAAGAAGAAGAAGAAGGGTATTTGATAAACGATATTATGAGATAAAAAAATATAATCGTATTACTTAAACGTGCACGCCACGTGCACGCCATGCCCATGCATGTTCTAATTATTGATTACACTTGGACACTGTAATAATAATAATAATTAAAAAAAGAAAAGAAAAGTGTCGTTTCATTCGTTAGAAATTAATGGGGAATATATTTTAATCAAAAAGACAATTAATAATAAGAAGAAAAAGATGAAGGAGGAAGTGGAGGAGGAGGAAGAATAACGATCGGTTATCCTGTAAATGAAATTCTTTGGGAGTATCTCATGCAAAAAAGGGGATTTCAATTAGGTATGGAGGAAGGAGAAAGAGTACCCCGGCACTTAAATTAAAATAAATTCGATATTATAAGTCAAGATGCTTCGATATTATTACTTTTGTCTTTGCTTGTTTGTTGTCTATCTATTATTAGGATTTTCTTTAGTCTCTGGTATTTTATGTATCGCAAATAAACGAATGTTATTTATATTAAATGTATTTTTATTTTTTATTTAACATTTATTATTTATCGTACGGGGCAATTTATAGAATTCGTTTGATATTTTAATTCGGAAAGAGAAGAGAAAAAGAGAGAGAGAGAGAGAGTGAGTGGGTGAGAGAGAAGGAACGAGCGAGTACAATGATCTCAAAGAAAGGAAATACCCGAAATAGAACCCTGCCTGTATCTCAGGGACGAATTATAGAGGATATTTGAAGGACGCGTGTTCAATTTGCTAAGCACGGAATCATTCGCAATATATAACTTCGCCAAATATTAATTTTCTTTTTTTCTTTTTTCTTTTTTTCTTCTTCATTCTCCTTTCACGATATGCAATTCTTCTTTTTCTATTCTTTTCTTTTCTTTTATTAAAATATTTTAATATATTTCTTTTAATCATTTTTATTTATTAACAATTCGTTTTTCCATTTATATGTTGCAGGAAAAAAATTCATTCCTGAATTACAACGTTTCCTGCATTCTGACGTTGCCGCCATATCAAAGACAAGGTTATGGTCGACTTCTAATCGATTTTAGTAAGTTAAATATTTTATAATAATAATAACAATAATAATGATAATAATAATATAGTTTAGAATATAACAAGATATTATTGGATTTGGCAAGGAAAGTAATTTTGTTTTTATCGTTTATTTATATCTCATTTAATTTTCTAACCTAAAAATTATTTTTAACATTCCAATAATGGACACTTCGAAAAACTTAGTCAGCCATTTTCGTTACACCTTGCTTTTTAATAATAATAGCAAAAATTAATTGTCTTTTATTTATCATCCCCCTCAAAAAAAAATTAACAAAAAACTTAATTACTTTCCGAATAATCAAATATAAATTCGTTAAATAAAAATACGTGTTTTTCTTCTTAGCAATTGAAGCTTGTCCTTGATAATAAGACAGAATTTTTCGATTCTGTTAATGACATCTTTTTAAGTTAATGAACAAGTAAAAGATAGATAAGAAATCGATTGGGTCACAAGTCCCAGGAATCTTTGAAGATCCAATAATAAGAAAAACAAACAAAATTGTCCCTCGTGTTTTCTGATGGTGATTTTAAAAAAATTGATAGAACTCAATAATTCGTCAATACTCAGACTCGTGTTGTTTACGATACTTGAAAATAAAAATAAAAAAATAAGATAGAAAAAGTTATTCTGGTCAGATCTTCTAGGTACAGAAAAAAAAAATGTTTTCTATTTCTTATCTATGTTGAAATTCCGTTAGAATTTCCTCGTCAACGATGATGTTGAGTGATCCTAGTGTCCATTGATCGTAGTTGTTTGTCGCAGTAACGAACAGTTTCTAAAGAGTTTCTCTTGCCCCTCCCCCGCATTTCCAACTCTACCTTCGACCAATCCCTTCTCCTCCCCCATCCATCCATCCATCCATCCATCCAACCAACCATCCCTGTATTCCCTCCTCTCTCTCTCTCTCTCTCTCTCCCTCCTTCACTCTGTCTCTTTTCAACGAATCGTAGCGTAGATAATTAAACGTGGGCTTTTTGCCGTGACGTCATTTTCATTGATGCCGTCGCGAGTAATGTTGGGAGGGAGAAACGGTGATGAGGGAAAAGAGGAGACAGAAAGAGAGAGAGGAATGGAGAGGAGAGGAGAGGAGAGGAGAGGAGAGGAGAGGAGTTGAGTTGAGTTGAGAGGAGTGGAGAGGGGGTGAGGTTTGTGTGGGTCGACGTACTACCAAGGGAGGATTAGAGTTGCGGATGGGGATGGGTTGGGGTGTGGGTGGGGTGGACGGTTCCGCAGGGTTTGCTGCAAACTGAGAGAGAGTGAAAAAGAGTAAGGAAGGAAGGAAGAGAGTAGAGTAGAGTATAGAGTGGCGTAGGAACCCGGTAAAATCGTAGCATGGTCTGGGTTAACGTTTCTGTATTGGATGAGAGTGAGAGAGAGGTGTCTATGGTCTAGAATATACACAACAGTGTAGTACCAGTTAGATTGGTATTGGTAGAAAAAAAAAGAAAAAAAAAAAAAGTATAGAAGGAATCCGGTAAAAATCGTAGGATAGTTTGAACTAAAGCGAGGACAGCAGAACCAACATTGATGTATTAGAATCGTTGTTGTATGGTCGTGATACAGTTACTAGGATTGGTATTGGTGTTTATAGATAGAGATAGATAGAAAAGTATTAGAGTGGCGTAGGAACCGGGGGGGTAAAATCGTAGCACATAGTCTGGGTAACATCGAGGTAGCTAACGTAGATATATTGGGAAGTGGTGTAGTATACTGGAGTGGTTAGCAGCAGGAGCAGGAGCAGCAGCAGCACCACCACCACCAGTACCAGTACCAGCACCAGCAGCAGCAGCAGCAGCAACGGAAAGTGCGACGCCCGGCGTCTCGCCGCATCGATCGACAACCCCTACCCCTATCCCCCTGTATCCCCCGGACTACCCCACCCAACCCCCTCACCCTAGAATTCAACATCCGAGCACACAGGCCTTGCTTGCGGATTCGCACGAACGCGCAGTCAAACACAGAAGGGCGACCACTGAGGGTGTACTACTACTACTACTATTACTACTACTACTACTACTACCACAGATGCGTTTACTAGAGTTAGAGTGAAGAGAGTGAGAGAGATGGAGAACCCAGACACGCAAAGTGTCCGTCTCGTTTCCCTTCCCACCTACCCTTTCGACGCAACCCAGCCAGACTCTACCTTTCTCTCTCTCACTGATACACTTCAGTACTTGCGTAGGGATCGCAATCGTATGACCTCCCGTGACCTCGCACCAGTAGTAGTCCCTCTCCCTAGGGTTGGTTACCGTAGGTAGGGTTGCCAGGCCCACTACCAACGCCCTCTTTTCCTTCTTCTTCCCATATAGGACTTTGAGAAGGAGGAGTCTTCTTCTTCTTCTTCTTCTTCTTCTTCTTCTTCTCCTACTATTACTACTACTACTACTATTACTTCGATTTTCTACCTTCATCATTCATTCTCTTCCTACTATCCAACGATTCCAAAAGTCTGCAAACTAAACGGACAAGTAATGAATGCGTTCAACCCTCCCGAAGTAATCGTTGGAATGGGAATCAGAATATGCTGGGGATGGGGGAAGGGGAGGGGAGAAGGTAGAGAAACAAGGTGGGTTCTGATGGTACCGATGGGTGGTGTGATGCTGTTTGGAGGGAAGATTGTCCTCTAAATCTATACTCCTCTCTCAAGCTTGAGCTTGAGCTTGAGCTTGTGGGAGTTTGTACAGACCAGGAAGACGCAGGAGGAAGAGGAGGAGCAGGAGGATGAGAATGAGGAGGTGGTGGTAGTGGTGGTAGTGGTAGTGGTGGTGGTACTCACTGTGGTCGTTGAACCTCCCAGTCTCCAGGACATCCCGGAATAGGACCGGTCCTGGGTCTTTCTATCTCTTTCTCTCTCGTTTGCTTGCTTGCTTGCTTGCTTGGTTGTTCCTACTTCATCGATGGGGTTCCTGTACGTCCCTTATCCACCATACGTTTTTCTTTTCCTTTTTTTTTTTTCTGTTCTTGTTCTTTTCCATTCGTTCCATTTGTTTTTTCTTTTTTTTCTTTTAAACGAATATCCACAAAAAGTGGGGATGGGGTTTGGTGGGGTGGGGTGGAGGTGCTATCCGGCAGTTGTTGCAATACGATATTTCGGATCGAAGCTACGATTAGGTGGAAACGTAATACGAACTTGCATCGAACGATGATGATCTCCTGTTCTCGATAAACGTGTGTTCTTCCTCTTCCTCTTCTTCCTCTTCTTCTCTTCTTCCTCCTCATCTTACTCTTTCTCTTCTTCTTCTTATTTTTATACTCTCTTTCTTTCTCTTGGAAGTCGATCCTTCTTATGGAGTACTCAAGTATCGTTCGCGTTCGGTGAAAGACAGTAGTCCGAAAGGGTTTAAGATTTCGATCAGGATATATGCACCCTCCTCCCCCTCCCCCACCCACCAACCCTTCTAGGGTTCTTCTTCCTGAACTATCGAACTTGATCGTCCATTCTTTTTTTTTTCTTTTTTGTTTTTGTTTTACCTTTCTCACACATCGTTCCAAATTCATGTCTGGATATTTAGTTCAGTCTGGAAATGATAGTCTTGGGGTATATGTTTGTATTACAAGGATAAATACTTTCGTAAAGTTACCGAAACCTTTTTTTTCCTTCCTTCCTAGGTCCCCTACCCTACCTTACCCACTTGTCTCAGCTAACCGCACATTTGAGACCGGTTGAAAATTGATAATAAAATGAATAATAAAGTTATGGGAAGTTGGAAACAGGATAAGTGACCTAATTTCTTCAACGACAGATCGAAATCTATCGGTTCGGTACTTTTTTGGTTCTTTTTCTTTTTTTTAGGGTGAAGGGGAAGCAAGCCTAATTAGTTGAATTAATTGTTGAAATAATTAGTTGAATTAATTGTTGTGAGAAATACAAATTAGTTAGGAAAGTAGAAGAGAACAGAGTGTTAGGGACATCTCACGTGGATAGGGGTTGGAATTGGGGTTGGAAAAAGAAAAGAAGGAAGAAAAAAAAACCATATTATGTAAAAAGATAAAAAATATTCATTCCAACTGTAGAGATGATTGTCAGATTCATTCGGAAAATGGGTTGTTTCTGGCCGTGCCGAAAGATCGAACTTGAAAAGCCAACTGATACCGTTGCGAATTCTAGTTGAGAGTAAATAACCATGGTGGTTTGACTGTTTGTCTGTCTGCTGCCTGTCTCATATGTGTATGTGTGTGTGTTATATATATATCCCTCTTTCTCTTTCTATTTCGGTTAGGCACAAATGTAGTCCGGTGCATCGAAACGTTTGTCGGTTATCAGCACGAAATAACTTTGATAAGAAATTTAATATAAATTAAAAAAAAGAAATAAATCGAAATCAATTAACAAATTAATAGGACGATCATCCTCTTTATCGATAACCTAAAATAAGTTTCGCTTTTAAATTTCGTATACTCGTGTGATATAATTTGAATTAATTACAATAACGAAATGAATATCTATTGTAATGATCTCGCGTATTTGTTTTTAATTAATAATAATCTATCGTTAAATATTAATATTTAAATTAAATCAAATAATAATATAAAATTTAAATATATATATTAAACTATAGTATATAGTATAGTTACTAGTATAATTACTAGTATAGTTACTAGTGTAGTTACTAGTATAATATAGTTATATATTATTACAGTAATATATAGTATAATAAAAACTATACTATGATAAATATATATATAATTGGTAGTTGGTGAAAATAGAAAAAATAAGAAAGAAAATAATTTGTTTTCAATGTTGGTAATACAGAAAATATTCTCTCGAACAAATTAGGGCTTCATTAAGATTAGAAACTAAAGGCAATTAATGAACATACTTCGATGCCATAAGCATATATATTTCTCTCTCTCCCTCTTTCTCTCTATATATCTTTCTCTTTCTACTTAGATTCTTCTATCTCCTCGGATACTCGAAGCAAGCGATGCGGAACGAACGTTCAACCGAAGAAGGAAGAGAGTATAACCTCATCATGCTTTTCTTGCTTCAGCAGCCACGTTGCTGGCAAACGAATCTTTCTTCTCCTCCTCTTCCTCCTCTTCTTCTTCTTCTTCTTCTTCTTCTTCTTCGAGTCCCTTTTTATTAACCCTTTTAGCACCGAACGACGATATATCGTTTGGTGCACTTACCAAAAATACGAACGACGATATTTCGTTGCGCCTCCGTTGGGGCCTTGTTGTATTCATCATAAGAGGTCTGTGTTTCAAAATACCTTTATAAAATGGTAAAATGGTTCATATTCGATGTAACACAAGTGAAAAAATGGTTATTAGATTTAACTTATTGTTATATTTTATGCTGATTAGTTTTGCGGGTCTGTATATGTTAGAACAATAAGATAGAAACGGGACCCGGTATAGTTTCTCTGGACCGTAATCTCAATCTTTATGATGTTTATGATAGTTATCGGAGTATTCAAGTGGCATGCGTGCATCGACTCGGCAAGCCTAAAATCTTTTTCAGTCTTTCTTGATCCTTCTAACGTGCAGTCAGTATTGAAAAACTGTCAAAGTTTTCATAGAGACACAATTAGCAGTAGAATATGTTGTCACTTTTGTTGATACCTTTTAGAACAAAATTATACCCTGTTACGAAGATAGATGACGCAGAATTAGTGCGAATTATTGACGAGTTAGATGTAACCGAAGAACATAGAGACAGTTATGAGGATGAACAATTATTTGCGTAGATCTGTCTGACGCTTGCCGTGCATCATAGCGTTATCCTTCCGTTTTATTATCCAACTTCTGTTATTGTATTGCAAATGATTGCAAAATGCAATGTCTATACATTATACTAAAATATGTATATAGAGCTATGACCAAATGATGACTTTTTTTTATGTGCAATTACCATTTGAAAAAGAGAAATCACTTTTGTACGTTTTTTGTTATGCCTTATGTCCCATGTTATTATTATGATTTTCAACAAATAATGACACACAATTCGTATCGTTTTATTCTCCATTTATTTCCGAATATGCTGCATTTAATATTTTGTAAAATATCATTTCTACTTTCGTTTTTACGTGCATTTTCACAAACCTCTGGAAATTCGCCGATTCGGCTCGAGTATTCTACGCTTAGCCAGGTTTTTTTCGCCGGTGTTAAAAGGGTTAATTAAACAAATTATTCTCATCGTTAAAATTGATCAAACTTTTATTATATATCCAAAAATATATATATATATATATATAGAAAATTATTTATATGGAAAAATTGTGTTGTTTTTGTTAAAAAAAAAAAAAAAAAAAAAGAAAAACAGAAGAAGAAAGTAAAGGATTAAAACTATAGTTAGTTTTGCTGAAAATAAATGTCGCCGCCATCTTGAACACGAGAAGCCTCGACCCGGTATTCTTGGTATTTCTCGTCTAGAGTCTAAAACGGACTCCCAATGCGAACGGATGCGGACGCAATCCTGCTGTTGCTGCTGCTGCTGAGAGAGGGTCTCTCTCTCTCTCTCTTTCTTTCTCTTTCTTTCTCTCTCTCATTGCTATTTCATCCTTCGTCGGTCACTGACATTACGCGTGCCGATTCGCTATTAACCATCTTCCAAAGATTACTTGCTAATTTCTCCACACTGTATAATATTGTTCTTCCAAATTTTTTGGTTAGTTCTACTTTACCGACGTAGTCGATGATTCATAGAAACGGATTTGTAATTTTTTTGTGGGGGTGGGGGGTGTTTTTTTCCTTCTATTTTTTAATTTAATATTATTATTACATTTTTTATATATATATATATATATATATATATAAATAATAAATTAAATTAATCAAATATAAGTAATTATATGTAATATATATATTTATATATTATTATTATTATTATTGTTGTTTTTGTTGTTTTTGTTTATTTTTCTTTTATATTTATATTCATATGAAAAATATATTAAAAAAAAATAAAAAAAAAAGAAAAAGAAGAAAGAGATGAATGTCTCTATGCTTGTAGATAAAATTGAGAACACGGGTGCACTTAAAACGAGATCGTAACATAACATTATCTTAATAATTCGAAAGGGAGAAAAACAAAAGAGAATAGACGAGAGATGAGAAGAGAAGAGATGAGAAGAGAAGAGAAGAGACTTCGAGATGCGTTTCGTCGGAAAGTGCAGCCGAGTGCAGGCGAATCGTAGATATGCATTCGCATCGATGCACTTAACCCTTAACTTCTGTAGTATACGTGCAATCAGGGAGAGAGGGTTTCAAACTCTATTGGAATTCTTTTTATAGGTCAACACATTATTTATCCTTGTTTATTTTTTCCTCTTCCATACATATATTCTGCTTGTAAAAAATTATATATTATAACGTAAGTTGTATATGTAATAATACGTAAATAAATAAATAAATAAATTAAAAAAAAAAACAAAAAAAAAAAAAGAAAACATGTGGCTAGTCGTTTTTTTTTTTTTTTTTTTTTTTTTTTTTTTTTTTTTTTTTTTTTTTTTTTTTTTTTCCCCATTAAATTTCTCGTCGAATAAAATTCAATTTGTTTATATTAAAAATAACAAAATATATATTAACAATTATACGGTAACGATGTATCTAATTGTTGTCGTTGTTATTGTTTCTTTAATTTTTTTTCTTTTTTTTACAAAGATTTAAAAAAAAAGAAAAAGAACTAGACGATGGTCAAGGACAATGGTAGTGGAGGAGGTTTAATAAAATGGCGTAGTAAATGAGCATAAATAAATTGTTCATATTATCGTTTAGTGTCAGTCAATCATCAGACCATTCGTCGACACCACCTCCTACCCTCATAATATGTTGAAAACTAACTCAAACTGCCTTTCTATTTCCTGTGATCGGCAAGTATTATATTTATGAAGGTGTATGTGTATGTGTATGCGTATTTGTATGTATTATTCCTCTTTCGTGATGCATCCTACGCGATGTGTTTGCTTTTCCATTCAGAGAACTTACTATTTACCAGAGTTAAAACACTTTATATATATATATAAATATATATGTGTGTGTGTGTTTGTTTGTTTGTGTGCATGCATATACGTGTGGGTTTGCGTCTTTATGGAATCCTGATTTTACGTGAACGGCTTCTATTGTTGGCTTCATTGGTTCGAGACAAGCCATTTTCTACGTACAACACGTTAACTGTTCTCTTCTCAAAATGAAAAAGCTCATAAGTTTTGTGTTAGGCGAGAAGCGCCTACATTCAACTCAACACAAACACTTCTTCGTTTATATTATTATATTATTTTATCTAAATTATTTAATATATCATAATTCTCGCAATTTTTAACACGGATGTCATATACTTTATCTTATTATTTTTATTTATTTATTTTTATAAATATAATTCTAGAACGCGTAAACAAAAATTACAGACGAATTATACGTGGATTGGGGAGGGGGAGGAGGGGTTAACATGTTTTGAGCTTTATGGTTTTTTTTCTTCGTACCGTGGTAGGCTCAAAACTTTTCAACCAATCGTCTTTTATTAAATTCCGAAATTGTTTAATTAAATTATAGAAAATGTATTAATAATAAAAATGTTAACATGAAAGAGAATAATTTGTAATAAAAAAAGAAAGAAAAGCAAATTTTATGATACGTATTTTATTGTTTTTGTTGATTAGGTTATCTGTTAACAAGGGTTGAGAAGAAGATAGGTTCACCGGAAAAACCTTTATCGGATTTGGGTCTAATATCTTATCGAAGTTATTGGAAGGACGTTTTACTGCAGTACCTTTGTAATTTTGGCGGAAAAGAACTTTCGGTTAAAGGTGAAAGTTGTTTCATTCGTTTATTATTCGTTTCATTTGTTTGTTCATATCATAATAATAAATGAACAATTATATAACGTGGTTTTGATAAAATAAAAAAGAAAAAAAGAAAACAAACAATCGATTTGTTTGAATTCACAGATATCAGCAAAGAAATGGCAATTGATTCGTACGACATCGTTAGTACATTGCAAGCCCTTGGAATGATGAAATATTGGAAGGGCAAGCACATTATATTGAAGAAACAAGTAAGTTTGTATAATTTTCTGTCTATTTGATTTGATTTTATTTTTATTAATTTATTTTTGAAAACAGATCTACTTGAGAAATAAAATTGGTGACGCGATATAATTAAGATGAAATATTATAATGAATGATTATGATACAACAATAATTATATTTAAAATTTGCTGTATTAGTTTGACAGATAAATTTTAGTATTATTTGTAGCAATAATAAATAATAAATATTAAATCATTTATAACTCTGATTTTTGAATGTATACACAATCAGCCGCCATTTTATAATCGTCATTTTATAGCCGCCATTTTATAATCGTCATTTTATAATCGCCATTTTGATTAACAAAGTTATCGCAAAATAATGGAGACCATTTTTGTAGAATAACTTCTATTACTTTATAATGAAATATTAAATGCGTTAAAAGAAAACAAAACTAACTACCAAATTAATTGTTACGTCTAATATAAATATTTAATTATTTATTATTCCAAAAATATTCTTGTATTTTATATAAATATAACCTTTACACCAATCCAATATCCAACGTGACTCAACATTATAGAATATTCATTTAAAAAATAATGAAAAATGTTTATAACAAAAATTGAGGAATGCAATAGGGTTAATTTAGGTTATGTTCTTGCAAAAAAAAAAAGAAAACAATATTGTCGAAACGATAACTGGCTTTTAAAGAAGAAAAAAAAGAGAAATGAAAAGAAATTAATGAATTTCTTAAATTGAGGTTAGAAATATGAATAGAAAGTTAGGATAATTAGGCATGAATAAAAATGATTAGAAAAGTAAAATAACAAAAACCGAAAAAAAACAAACACTTATTTTCAGGATGTGATCGACGATTATAAGGAAAGGATGAAACGACGAGGTCTCCTCTACAAGGAGATTGATCCAGAGTGCCTAAAATGGAATCCCTTCCAACCTCCCAAGACTCCTTCAACTTCGAACTAAAAGGGCTAAAGGAAAAAGATCGAAAAGTGATGAAGAGACCAAGAAAAGAAATAAAGGAGAAAGGGAAAACGAAGGAGGATAAGAAGATGAAGAAGGTTGGAACTCTCTCCCTCTTGTGAGTAGTTGTATGCGTGACACCATAAGAAAAAAAAAAAAGAAAGAAGGAGAAAAAAAATAACGCCAATATTTATTATGCAGATTTGTATACCACGTGTGTGTGTATGTGTGTTTGTGTGTGTGTGTATGCATATCTGTCGCGTTTGTAAGAAAAAGATAAAAAATGTATTTCAATATTTATATGCTTGTGTATTATAATGTGTAAAAGAAAGAAAGAAAGAATGTTATTTACTTCTTAATAAAAATCAGGATTGACCAATAAGCAAGAAAAATTATTAACGAATGATATTAACTATAAAATTTGTTTATTTATTGATAAATGTTTTGTTCTATTAGAATATTGTCTCGATAAATTTACATGACAATTTTATATATTTATATATCTATATATATATGACGTTATGAATCATTCGAATTATATAATTTTTTGTTAGCAACAATTTATTTAATATCAAATTTAGAACGGGGATTAAACGAAATTAATAAGATTCTGTTTTTAATTAACAAACGTAATTTTGTCCCAAATTTATGCTAATATTTCTTTCACGAGTAAAAAGCGAATAACATTATTTCACACATTTAATTATTATTAACAACAATTACATATATATAATTATAATTATTATATATTATATATATATATATATATAATTATTCGAAGTAAAAAATAACTGCAAGAAAACTTATTGGCCAATGTGATTGTATGACATGCAAAAGAGAAAAAAAAAAAAACCAGAATGATGTCAATATTTATGTATATGCATATAATTATGAGAGGAGACAGATACAGTTATAAGTATGTATGTATTATATGTGTATATGTTTGTGTGAGAAAGAGAAAGATAAGTATGGTAAGATCGAATCCTCTGGCACTCCTTTTGGAGTATTCAACAAGGAGGCGTTTGGGTTGGTCGATTTCTCTTGTAAATTTTCTTCTTTTTCTTTTTATCCTTCTTCTTTTTTCATCTTCTTCTTCTTCTTCTTCATCATCATCATCATCATCATCATCTTCTTCTTTTTCTTCTTCTTCTTCTTCGTCATCGTCATTGCAGAGAGAAGCCGTAAAGCAGATTACACGCCTG